ATACAACTGTGAATTGTCACAATGAAATTAGGAACGCACAACATGCTTGTATCTACAATAATAGAGTGCAAATCAACTAAGATGAAGTGCTAATACTAACAACAATGCACCTCACCGTCGCCAGTACCTGCTTAGTGTGATTCATCCCGACTTTGAGTATTGTTTCCCTGTTTACTCATCTCACCTATCAGCACAGTCCAGGGAGAGATTGTTTACCTTGTTCCGTAGAGCTGTACGAGTTACCTGCGGTGCTTCATATCATGCTGCTGTACCACCCCTTCTTGCTTCTCTTCAAATAAAACACCTTGAATATCGATACATTTATCAATTTCTTACGTTTACGTTTAGTTGTCATATTGTTCAGCCTGCATCATGCTTACGCAGTCTTTTCCCTTTGCCCACCTCTAAGCGGTCAGCTCGTGGAACTACAACAAACAATTTGTCAATTTGCTTGTATAAATCCATGGTAGGGTACAATTCCTTTTCCTCCAGAGCATCCCTCATGTGGAATGCCCTCCCTGCTCACTTGAAAGGAACTGAGGACATTAGATCATTTTCTACAGAACTTTTGCACGCTCTAAATGACGACAAATTGACTATATCCTATATACCCTCCTTTTGAAAATGTATTTCACCAATAAAATAAGGCTTGGAATTTTTTAAACATGAATATCGACGGACTTGCCCTTCTGTTCATGCATTGCCCTGCTCTAGTAATGGTTCATGAATCCGCCCAGTCCACATTCCTTCTCCGTTTCTCTCTACAGTGCATTTCAAAACTATAGACGCGTAGGGTTTTTGAAATATTTCAAATTTGGCTGGAACATTTTGAGAAGAGTTTTCGGAATATTGCTCAGGATCGCTCCACAATTACTCTCATATAGTTTCTAAAGGATTGGATGACAGACGCCCAATTTGGAAAAATTTATGCACAAAGTGATCACAGATTTTATGTGGTATAGATGCTGGCATAACGGTTTTTGCCTAGGTACGCGTCTATAGTTTTGAAATGGACTGTAGTAATGGTTCATGAATCCGCCCAGTCCACATTCCTTCTCCGTTTCTCTCCGTTTTTCTTTCCTTTCAGTTGCATCTTCCTCTCTGCTCTTTTTATTTTCTCTTTTCGTTCGTCCCTCTTGATATTTGTACTTTGCACTGTTGAGGCAACGAACTGAAATAATAAAACCAAACCAAACCAAAACCAAAGCTACAACAACACAGGCCACATGTAGTTGTTGAATATCTTGAAGTTTTCACTACTATACTTTCAAACACAGACATGCAAAATAAAATGAACATGGACAATGGATTAAAGGGAAAAATACGTATGCTTATCCGAAGGAGAATTGGGCACTGATTCCGATGAGCTATGTCTTGAGCCTATCAGAGAAGCGGAACCTTGTCAAATTTCATAAATAACACCTTCCATATTTAGGCATATGGCTTGATGACGTGCGTACTGCTTAGCTGTCACCATGCTGTGCATGCTCAGCATGTAATTGAATGGAAGAAAACAATTGCTTTGGTGTTTTGCAGCTCTATTTCGTTCCCTGACGGTAACCAAATTTAGATGTAGGAATCTGGAGCAGGAGAGTGACACGTGTCTTCCCGAAGGCTGTCCAGGCTGCAGTTTTTTTATTCCCACCTTCCAACAAAAGTCCACGCCGCAGTGGTGATGAAGAGACATGATCATCACCCCGAGATGGATTGTAGCGATTTGAAAAACTCATGGTGAACTTGCTTCCATTCCAAGGCAATGTCGAAGTATGAAGGGTGCTTATACTGCCTTCGAAAGTGAAGCGGAGATAAAAATGGCTGTGCATAGATGTTGTTCTACGCCAACCTACCGTACCTACTCTTGCTGGTACCGTAGTGGTATAGTGCAAATTTCGTGGATGAACAACTCTAGTCACTAGTGGTCACTAGTGGCTAGTGAGCAACACCAACAGGTGAGATTTTTCAATTTGACAACAATTGCTTTTGTTTGAGAACTGACAGTGACAGTCCTTTGGCTCAGTAGGTGTCTCTGCTACTTCTTTTGCTTCACCGGTAGGGCTGTGCTTGAAGTAAAAATAATCAGAACATGTGGAACAAAAATCTGATCATGTAATTTGAATTGCACCTTTTTCTTTCCCTACTAGTTGCTGTTACACTCACTGATCCGCTAGGCTTATGCACAGATATACAGCATTCCCTCGCTAGTGGGACCATTGTTATTAGGCTAGGGCCTGTTTTGGACTTCCCACTCTAAATAAAGAATACAAACAAACATCAAATCACAAAAATTTCAAGGTGGTGCTGTGCATTGAAAACTTAGACTGTAAGCCGGCAGCAGTGGAAAAGATAGAACTGAAACCAGTATAGTAGAGTATTCATAAGGTTGAGGAAGTTGAAAACGGGAGTAGAGTAGTGAGCATTTCTTTTGAGCATTTCAGTTTGAAGGAGTGTCAATAGACAGCATGGTGTTGCATACTTTGTGGATATTGTGCGAATCTAATAATTGGGGGAGGGTAGTGATGAGGCAGAGTATTGTTACAACACAAGGTACGCTGTGAGCAGATAGCAATCAGTATCACGGCATGGCTTAGACAGGAACTGCTCAATGTCACGAAAATTGATAGGCCTAAATTGTAATATTATCCCCTGAGCAGTATAATAATATTATGGCGTTCTCCTGTGTTTACATGCAGAGCCTTGACGTTTTTGGACGAGCCACAATATATATTACACAAACATGTAGCTCATAATGTGAGATGACTGCCGTATTGGATTGACAACGCAAACCCATCCTGTGTCAGTGCAGCCATCCAACAGCTTGTACTCCCCGGATCAGATGCCTCTGCAGCTAAACACCATGCTGATGGAAAGCCAGGAGTTGATGGCGAAGCATTCTGGCCTGCACAGTACAATCCAAAGAACGATTATGAATTAGATCGCATTGTAATCCCTCCCACACTTCTTTGTAAAAACAAACAAACAGTGTCAATACCACAACACCTGATCAAGCATCTTGATGGAGGTATTTTCCATTCTGTTACATTTTGCTGGCCCAGCATCTGCACCAGGAAAACCATGTACACGTAAAAGTATCTTGTGTGTGTTCATGCGTGTGTGTGTGTGTTTATGTATCCGTCTGTGCACATGTGTGTAGGGGGCTACATGCACATGTCATTGTGTACGGGTAGGTGTGTGTGTGTGTGTTGGGGGGGGGGGGTACACAAACAGGTGTATGGATGTGCGCACTGTATGCGTGTGTGTCTGGGGGGGGGGGGTGCACACACATGTGTACATGTGTGTGCGGAATATAGAATATGTGTATGTGTTCGTTCAACACAGGGAGTCATCCTGTTTCCATAAACTTTGTAATCATCGTGATTTTGATGTGCTTTGAAGTTGAAATTCGAATTACATTGTACTGACTCTTGATTATATTTATAATCCACATGTTCGATTTATTTTATTTCAAGCACTTATACTATCACGCACAACCCTACCAATGAAGGGAGAGAAGTAACAGAGACACCTACTGTGCCAAATGACTGTCACTGTCAGTTCTCAAACAAAACAATTGTTGTCATATTGAAAAATCTCACCTGTTAGCGTTGCTCATTAGCCACTAGTGACTAGAGTTGTTTGACGACGAAATTTGCAGTATACCACTACGGTACCAGCAAGAGTAGGTACGGTAGGTTGGCGTAGAACAACAGCTATGCAAAGCCATTTTTATCTCCGCTTCACTTTGGAAGGCAGTATAAGCACCCTTCATACTTCGACATTGCCTTGGAGTGGAAGCAGATTAATTCACCATGAGTTTTCCAATTCGCTACAATCCATCTCGGGGTGATGATCGTGTCTCTTCATCACCACTGCAGCATGGAAAGCCTTTGGAAAGACACGTGTCACTCTCCTGCTCAACAGATGCCTACAACTAGATTTGGTTGTCCGGCAGGGAACGAAATAGAGCTGAAAAACACCAAAATGTTACGAGTTATGACTAACTGTCCACCAACGTAACCTGATTTTGTCCTTCTTCTTTTCTTAATTGGCTCACCATCCGAGTTACATTAAAAACACCAAAGTAAGGCCACACTGAAGAAGGTCTGTGGTTCGACTCACCCGACCGACCGTACATTTTTCAGCCCGACCGTAACTTTTTTTCGGCGGGCTGTCGTGTGACTGACGTACGTGGACTGAACACGTCCACGTCTACGTGCTGTGCAGCGTGAGTCTGCGGACGCAGGCGCAGGCGGCTTGGACTTGACTTGTACAGTTGTAGTTGTACTGCAGTGCAGTGCAGTGAGTGGTACGACTGCTGCCTTGTGCTGGTAGTAGAGTCTACTCGATACGACCACCGGCAGACTGGCGAGGCTTATTAAAGTGACCGTCCGGTTGAGAGTGATTGCCTCGTTCCAGATTAAGGACGGCCTTCTGTTTTGGGATGAAGGACAGACGAGATTGCACTTTCCTCGTGTATTGGGAACGATATTTCACCTGTACCGGTAAGTTGCTGCTCCATGTGTGCAAGCACAGGAAGCGTCGATGGAAAAAGCCCATGTATTCGTGCACGCCGACACCAAACTAGCAATACATGTACCGGTACATTGTACAATTTGTACTTCGAAGTAGTTCCCGAACTTACTTTCAACTCGCATCGTTCTTCATTTGCTTGATGATTTGGACAGTCAGAGTCACCGCTTGAAGTTATTCTCTTCTCGTTCCAGAGCTACACAATGTTTCAAAGTAATAGCCAGTGATCCCTTTATACAACATGTATGGCATAACACTGCGTAATAATGCCGATGTACTGGGTGTCTAAAGGCAGTACAGTGTATTTACATGTACTAAAAATTCCGCTTGTGTGTACTAAAAATATATATTAAAAAAAAATCCGCCCGCCCGCCCGTAAAAAAAATGTCCATGTTAGTCGAACCACACACCTTCTTTAGTTTGGCCTAATTGTTTTTTTTTTCAATTAAATAACACTTCTGAGCATGCACAGCATGGTGACAGCTAAGCAGTACGCACGTCATCAAGGCCTGGAGGCGTGCAGTCAAGGCCCGTCTGCCAGCACGGAGGTAGTTGTAGCTGTACCACCGCCAAACACCTACAGTCAAGCCCTGCAAAGTCCAACCGCACGCGCACCACCTGCCAGCACTGAGGTACCACCACCAAACACGTACAGTCAAGCCCTGCAAAGTCCAACCGCACGCGCACCACCTGCCAGCACTGAGGTGGTCGCAGCCGCAGTACCGCACACAAGCTTGACCCCAGCGAAGCCAGCAGCGTCGCCAGCCGCCAACACAGTCGCCTGCACCCCAGTCACGCCGACGACTGCTCTGGCCACCTCCAGGGGGAAAACCACACACCCATCACCGGACACTGAAGACGATGGCTTTACTCCAGTGAAGAGGGGAAAGAACTCCTTTCGCCCAGGTAACAGTGCCACCTCGGAATGCCAGAACAACGACACAGACCCACAGGTCACGTGGGCTAACGAAGTCAGTGCGAAAGAGGTCGAAAACCTCCTCAAGCGGATCCGCAGACGCAAGGGCAGCTTCTAACCGGTCTACAGCCACAGGCGTGCAGCCACCACTCTCCCCTCCTCCTCCATCAAACACTTGTAAGTTACCCCACACTAGCCTTAATGTAGGAACCCTCAACATTTGCAGCCTCAGGAACAAAGTTGAAGAAGTCCACCACGTTTTGCATAATTTTAACCTAGATGTATTAGCCATTACTGAAACTTGGCTCAATGACACTATAAGCGATGCCCTAGTTGCAATACCTGGCTACTCTATACTTAGATCTGACAGGACTAGCCAGCAAGGTGGAGGAATATGTTTTTATGTCAGGCACTCACTCACTGTCACTGCCATCACCTTCCCAAATCCAAACCAGCTTGAAGTCTTGTGCATTGTGGTGCAGACCACAAAAACTGACCAGCTTACACTGACCTGTGTCTACAGGCCCCCAAACAACAGTGTGGGCTTTTGGCAGCTTCTTACAGATACCGCCGATCATCTCTACAACCCACGTGCACCGATGATTGTTCTGGGTGACCTAAACTGTGACACACTGCGAACACCACCCACATCCCACCTTCACCATTTCAAAGAGTTCTGCAGCTCACTTCACCTTGAGAACATAATCTCCTCTCCCACACGATTCCCCAGCCAATCATGTCTAGACGTTGTACTGGTCGATCAACAGTTGCTAGGTCGTGCGCCAGGCAGTTCCAGAGCTTTCATCTGGAACCAAGCTGTACATCCCGTAGTAGACGTCAGTGATCATCACCTTGTAACTTTCTCCTACAGCGCCCCTGGTAGAGCTTCATCACCCGCAACTACAGGGATACGACATATCCGCCGACCACCTCTGTCTTCAATCAGCCCTGATATGCTGAAAACAGAAATCGCAAAGAATGTGGCCGAATCGACGAGCGGCACCTTCCAATCGCTGGATGAATCAGCATCAGCGTTTCGCGACAGCGTCCTGTTGGCCGTAAACACGCTGTGTCCACTACGGCCCTGTCGCAGTCAGAAATCACGGAAACCTAAGCCATCCCCGTGGTGTACACCAGCGCTAACAAATCTCTTCCACCGTCGCAAACATCTTCACCGCGCGGTTATGAGAAACCCGACTGACACCCAGCTCTTGCAACTGTACCGTGCAGCAAGAAGAGAAGGCACGCTGCTTAACAAACGCCTAAAGAATCAATATTTAGTAAGGGAGTTCTCAGACTGCCGAAATGATCATCGCCGCCAATGGAAACTGCTCAACAAACTCCTTGGTCGGAACATCACTCCAACACCTCTCAAAGCCGACGTTTCCAGCCTCACCAACTTCTTTGGATCGGTCGTCTCTGACCCAGAGCGACCTCCTTCCCTGCAAATCCCCCAAGGCCCCCGACAGCTCACCAGTTTCGCAAATTTCACCCCTGTCACTACCACTGAAGTCTGCAAGCTCCTCAAGAAGATCTCCCCTTTCAAATCCACCGGATCCGACGAACTCCCACCCCTTCCTCTGAAGATCTGTGCAGAAGAACTAGCCGGTCCCCTCTGTCTCATTTTCAACGAATCACTCTCCCTCGGTTCCTTTCCAGACATATATAAAGTAGCGTCTGTATTCCCCCTCTTCAAGAAAGGCAATCCAGAATGTCCCTCTAACTATCGCCCCATATCTCTACTCCCCATCGTATCCAAGCTTCTAGAAAAGATCGTCCTTCATCAACTGCAGCGCTATATCAACACCCACCCAGAGCTCAACATTCTTCCTCCCCAACAGTTCGCCTACCGCTCTGATCATTCCACAGAGGATGCACTTTCACTGGCTATATCAAAGTGGCAACAACGCTTGGATGACTGTCAGAACACCGGAGTGTTATTCTTGGACATGAGCAAGGCGTTCGACCGGGTCAAGCACCAGCCACTCATCAACGAGCTCTACTCCTGCGGTATTTGTGGCACAGCACTGTCTTGGTTCGCCTCCTATCTAAGCGCTCGTCGACAGACAGTGACGAACCCCTCCACAAAAACATCCGGCGACTCCGTGACCTGTAGTCGAGGGGTACCTCAAGGCTCTGTCCTGGGCCCGTTCTTTTCACAATCTACACAAGACACGTAACAGACGTCACACCAACTCACACATCTAACATACTCTACGCCGACGATATAGGACTCTACACATCGAGCAGCTGCATCAACACGATACAGGACCGACTATCAGAGAGCTTCGATGCGGTTAAATCACACCTCACGGAACTGGGCCTCCTACTGAACCCCGACTAAACTCAACTATTAATCGTCCGCCGGAAGACAACCCCATTTCCACCTACCTTCACTGTCATCTGTGGTAACTTCCCAGTATCCCCTTCCCAGTGTGTCCGTTACCTTGGAGTGCTAGTCTACCAGCACCTTGCCTTCAAGGAGCAGGTCGGGAAAGTTGTTGCTGACGTCAACCGTAAGCTGGCCGCATTCCGCAGAATACGACATCACATCACCACCCAGGCACAACGTTCCTTTTACCTAAGCATTATCCAATCCACCATGGAGTACGCCAGCAACTGCTACGTTCACACGATATCAGCAACCCTATAGAACACACTCATTCGATGCTTCAAACGTACCCTCAGGATAACATTTGGCTACCCACCATGCCACCCAACCGCCACCATTTGTCAACGCCACAAAATTATTCCTGTCGCCATCCGTTATAACCTAAAGATATTTTGCCTTGTCTATAAATGTGTGCATGGCCGCCGCAGCCCTCTACCTGCCGAGCTTTTTGTACTTAGATCAAATAGCAATCATACCAATGCCTTGACCAGGGGACAGTCCGCCCTGGCTTTAGCCCTGCCTAATGCTTCGTCACGGTACGGTTTCTATGCTTTGCCTTACCTGGCTGCTGACAGGTGGAATACGCTTCCAGCAGCATGCCGCCAGGCAGCCTCCTTTGCAATGTTCAACAGTACTCTTCGCAGCCTCTTTTGCAACACATAATGGCACAGTATGCAGCCACCGTTTTCTTTTTTCTTTACTCTATTTCACGCACTTACGGCTTTCTTCATTCAGCTCTATTTCACGCACTTACCTAGGGTACCCTGTAAAAAGACTCACAGTCTGTGGGGATTGCCCTAGTAAAATAATAAATACTTGAGAACGGTTTTATTCACAACACCATGAAGTAAGAGTCAAAGCAAAAAGACAACCCAATTTCGGAATAAAATAGAACACTCAATTGAAATATAAAACTTTGAACTCAAAAGCTTCACACGAAATCATCACCTAATAACAATGCCTACGGGCATGCAAAGGCGAACGGTCAGAGCTCTGGCCGTGTCAGCAGAGCCGGCGGCAATAAGCTGCAAAGGGGCTCCCGACCCTGCGGCGAATGTAAGAGGCCCTGCAGCCCCTGAAGCACGTGACTGCCCATCGCAGCAGGCAAAATGAAACTCGAGTGCGTAACTCACCCATCACAGCAGAATATACCAAGTCTTTGTTTTTGTCTACAACGAGAGCAGCTAGCGACTTCAGGAATATAGAAGTTTCCTTGCCCGCCACACCCGAGGTCGAAAACACCAGTGGGGTGAATGATGCCCTCTCCACCTGGTTGACTCTGGCACCATACGCCGCCTTCTTCATTCTCTCATGTGTTCTCAGGTGGCTAAGGATTTCCGGACGAGACAGCAAGGACGGCCCAAGGTCAGTGACCCTTACATCAAAATAGGCGTCCTGCTGCCGCGACCAGAAACCCCTAGCCCGTATGTCCAGGCGTGCCTCTGGCTGACGATTCGCGGAGACGACAGAGATGTCCTCACCGTGTAGCGGGAGCAGATGTGGCTCCACCTCCACATCGGGCAGTACCTCCTGCAGCACTCCCGCCAGGAGGTCCCGAAGCTCGTTATGGCGAGCCGACGGATAGCCGCCGGTCGGGCACGTGAGGGCGTGGTGGGTGGTCATGGACTTCCCACAGACACAATGATCACTTACACCGTCCAGTGGGAGACCATATCGTATGCATAGCGCATCTCTAAAATCCGACTTTTTCAGCACGGTGCGGTTTGTCCAAGACGGCTGTGCTGTTAACCATGTTGAGACGCCTTTCTCATCCGCTACTGCGAGCAGCTGTCGCTGGACAGGTGAAAGCCCCTCAGCCAACTCCGTCTGCATCTGCCGGCATCCACCGATTTTTTCATGGCGCTTTTGTCGGGCGATGCCTCGTGCCTCGCCAACGGCTTCTTGAACGGGATTGGCCATGCCCTCTGCGATGGCCACGATGCTCTGCGTGTTTTGGTCCGGACTGATGGCTGGAGAGTCTCGGACGCTCACGTTACGGGGGGATAAATACTACTACTACTACTACTACTACTGGAAGGCGTTATTTATGAAATGTGACAAGGTTCCTCTTCTCTGATCGGCTCGAGACGTAGCTCATCGGAATCAGTGCCCAATCCTCCTTCGGAGAAGCCATACTACAGTTGTGGCAAGTGAAATCCGAAAATTGCCATAGGGGACAGCGCCACAAAAACCACCATTCCTTCCTGATTCTGGACGACAAACTACTAAAACTCCTAATCAACAGCAGCTCCACGACGCCCCCTACCACAAACTAATGTCGGTCTTCACCCCGTTGAGCGCTCATGCTTTCCCGTTTCTCCCGGACCACGCACATTCTATTAACATTGTAACTATCAACTGTCGCTCTGTAACAAACAAACTTCCGGAATTGTACGCAATATGTCAGGCCAACAAGCCCACCATAATATGTTTAACAGAAACCTGGCTAAGCCCGTCACTTTCATTCAGTGTTCCAGGCTACACATGCGTCCGTAAAGACAGATCTACACATAAGAACCTGAGATCAAACCTACGTGGATATGGTGGCGTGGCCATTCTCATACGTGATGGGACATTTCCACATTGCACCCGTCGCCATGACCTTGATTCTCCCCAAAGCGAGGCCTTATGGCTCGAGCTTGGTGCACCGGCAGGTCTCCGGGCCAATCCGCTACTCATTTGCTGTCATTACCGCCCCCCTTCACAATCCCTTCTTGATATCACCT